AACGGTTTTTTTTTTTTTTTCCTCCCCCCCCCCCCCCCCCTCCAGCCACCTTTTAGTGGTGACTGGTTTACTGACTGCTAATGCTTTAAAAATGAGATTAAATCAAGCCCGTGGTCTTTATTATGAGGAAGATATATGCCCCTTGTGCATTCCAGCAGTTTGGCAATTTTAAGCTCGGCAGACATAACATTGATGTATGCTGTATTGCCAAACAGCACGGTAAGTGTCTAAAACACCGTGAACAGTCTTATTGCCTTGAAATGATACAATCTAATATTAGATTGTAACTCAGTGACTGAACCTGCCAGCCTATCCTTGTACAGAATATGAAAGCCGAAGCCACTTTATTTTAATATCTCACAGGGAAGAAATTGTTCTTCATTTCAGCATTGAAACAGAGAACACGTTAAAGGTAAATCTAGATTGCACAAAAACGGAAACCACAACATATCAGGCCCTTTTCATCAACAGCACAGACGCATCAGCCTTTTGGAATAGGGCATCGAAATGCCAGTCCAATTCATTCAACGTGGAGGGTCCCCTTAGCATTGTGAGTGACTGCTGGGTGGGATCTGAGAGTCCCGGGATTCCCAAATGAGAGAAAAGCAGATGCACCCTTCCCGCTGCATTTGGAAAACTCCGGGAAGAGAGCAGCTTTTCTCTAATTCTCAGCACTGCTGGACTTGTTCCTTTTAATCAACCATAATTCACATAGACTCTCTCAGGCTCCTCCACACTTTCTGCTCACCGATCAAATTTCAGACATTGATCCCTCAAAGGTCCCAGGTGGCTGATAGCCTTAGTTTCCATGGTCAGGATGCCACCTCTGTGTCTCCTGCGTAAAGGGGATGTATGCACCCATGCTTCAGCCTGTCCCTGTTATAGCAGGTGGGATATCACTAGGTAGGTTGACCTGGTATAAGGGGTTCTCAGGCATGGGACCTTCAAGTGCTAAATCCAGGTCAGTTCAGGTTAAATGGGGATGGTTAGCTACTATGTCCCTCGGTGAGGACCCTGCCCACCAGATCACCTTCACCCAAGTGCAATCTGGTTTACTAGTAACTGAATATGAAAGAGAGTGCTTCACGGGGAAAGGAAGCCACCAAAGAGTGGCATGAAGCTGGATTTATGGACTGATTGTATTCTATGAAATCTAGATTCTTATACCTGACAAAATCACCGCCTTCAGATTTCAACTTCATCACACCTTCACTAGGAGAGTGCATGGGGAAGGCCTGTTCCTGCCTGAGTGCCCTAGTCCATGTTATTGCTGAATATGAATCCTCATTCTCATATGTCTTCCAGGTTATAGACTAAATGGGACCTGGGAAAGGAAACCCACAAAAAATGACCAAATAACAGCCTATTGGTTTAATTTTTTACTGATAACTAAAGATTAAGTTTAAAAGTGGCCCTTCAAACCTGTTTATCCATTTGAAGACCTAAATTTATTTCAGCTAAGATTAATTTGCCTGGCTATATACCTCATATAATTTTTTTTAAACAAAGCTTAATTTTTAGCCAAATCTTTATAGAAGTGAGTAACAATTTTTCTTTTTCCTGTAGGTCTAACACAGCAAAGGCCAAAAGAAATAATTATGAGCTGCCATCTAACCAAAATAAGAGGGACAGAAGTACAAGTACCAATATCCATAGATTCCAGAACATTCAGTTTTGGGTTTTGTTTGTTTGTTTTTCAGGGTCAACACCACTTTAAAATATCTAGAATAAAATTTAAAAAAAAATACTGTTCATCTAATCACAGTTATTGAGTCAACACATTACCAAGCATTAAGGTATTTGGAAGCACTAATGAAAGTTTTTATATTTGGAAATCTATATGTTGTAGGTGAAGCCATCATCATTAAAATAAAATTCTGAAGGAAAAACAACAACAGAACAGAAAATCTGCCAAATTTAAGCAGTAGTGAGGCCATAAAACATAATTAATTGGAAAATTATTCTTCTAATATTTTTATATTAGTAAAATGTCCTCTGGTACACATAAATAGTAAGTCAATTTGAGCCTGGAATTGTTTTGGGAAAAACAACATAGAAAGCTACACTGATTGGAGAGATCCTTCTACTGCTTCCCAAATTAATTTATATTAATAATAATAAAAAAAAGGGCAAGACCATGCGGGAATAAGTACATGTTTTTACATTTTTTCCTTTTTCTTAAAAATATACACCGTTTCTGCCAAGATTGTTTTATTATCTCGGCAATAAGGAATGAGAAGAGATGGAGGAAGAAGAGGAGAAGGGAGAATCCATTACCTGCGACTGCGACTTTTGCTGTCCGACTGGTGATGGACCCCGCGTCGCCTACAGATGCCTCGCATTGGTAAAGGCCCTCGTCTGGCTTATGGTGCCTGGAGTGCAGTACGTTTTGTATCAACAGAGACCCGTTGGGAAGTTGCTGCTTCCTTTCGTCCACCCCCAAGGCCAGGGGGATGCCGTCTTTCTTCCACTTGATGACAGGGACTCCTCGGTCGGACTCCGCGGAGCAGTTCAGGAGGACATTTCCTCCCCGCATGGTGATGGCATCCGAAGGTTCCGACAGGAAGTGCAGGGACGTGAAAGCCTTGATCTGGAAACCTGGAGCAGGAAGACCAGGGGAAGAAGTTCATTTACATGCCCTGCCTTTTTTGTTGCTGTTGTTAATCATCACCCACGGATATTTTCCCATTGATTTTTAGAAAGAGTGGAAGGGAGGGGGAGAGACACATGGATTGGTTGCCTCCTGCATGCTCCCCAACCAGCGCCAGGGACTGAGCCTGCAGCCCAGGTAGGTACCCTTGACCAGGAATTGAACCTGGGACCCTTCAGTCCCTGGGCCGATGTTCTGTCTACTAAGTCAAACTGGCTAGAACTTCCCTGCTTTTCCTTTCTAAAACTCTTTGAAATCAAGGATTTGGTATTAAAGAAGCAAAAAAAGTACCCAATTAAAGTAGCCATAATTAATGAAAGAATTGGCCCAAAGTGTAATAATATGAAAAGTTAAGAATTTATACTAATCTAGGCATGGCATCATCACATATCAGTTAGTACTTGAAAATTTAGGCAGAATAAACTAAAATTTTCCAAATGAATCTAGATATTTTAAAGTGGTAATGGATAGTAGTACAGTAGCTTAGATTTGGGATACTATTCCTATCTCTTTATTCTGATTATAGTATCCATTCGTTTTAAAAAATCTACTCAGACAGGGTGTTTTATTTATAGCAACAACAAAAAGACTCTGAACAGAGTGGGGAATGTTATTTAGAACAAAGCTCAGGTGGGTTTTAAAACAGGTAAGTAATCCCACCTGCAGAAACAAGTCAATAAAGCTACTGCCTAAATCACAAGTCCCTGATGTGTCCTAATTTCTAGCCAAATGTTGCTCAAAGCCAGAAAATCTAAGTGAAGATTCTAGGTGGAATCCCCCCATAAACATAAGCGTGCATAAGAAATCAACAGGAGGAAGAGAAAGTCATGTAAGAATCCTGAGGGGGTAGAACAAGTATAATTAAAGAATATTCTTTTCGGGCTGACAGCATGGCATTTGGCAGAATGCTTGTTTGGTGAATCACAGACTTTGAGGGTGTTTCAGGGGGTCACTCGGCTCACCCTTTGCTCAGACATGTGTATACCTAAGTCCTTCCAGTTAAATTACTTTCCATTTCATTTTTAACCATGTCTGGAGGCAGGGGATTCTGCAGTGTCCCTTGGTAGCTTGTCTTCAATATTTAATCATTCTTAGACTCTAACTGAATTTTCTTGATTCTATTTAATTCCATTTCCCCCCTGAATCACTTAGTGTGAAAATGCAGAGGAGCTAGACATTTCTTTGTAAGAGCCCTTTATACTTTTGAAGAGGCATTTAATTTTATTTAAAAAATACCCACTAAAATATATTTTAGTCTTCTTTTTTTCCAGAATAACAATCCAACGTCACCAGTTTTCATAATTTTTCTATAATGGGAACAATTTTTGTCGTGCTTTGTATAAACTTTTTATTTTTCTATCATTTAAGACAGGCACCTAAACTGCTTATAATTAATACTCCCACAAGGGATTGACCCACACTAGTTCCATTGGACAGAAGTACTCCTCGCTTTGTATACTGCACTTTCCAGTGAAGACGAGTCTAAACAGCTTCTCACTGTTTCTCCATGACATGCTCTTGCACATAAAAGTTTCCTAAACCATATATATGAAAGCTGTTATTTTACTCCTTCTGTTGAGTCTTTCCCAGTGAACTGCATTATTCATCCCCATACACTCATTGCATCCAACGAGGCCATTCCCCCAAAGAAAGCAGCTGAAACTTTGGTCAAATTAACATCAATTGTAAAATAACAGTGAACATGTAAGTCTACCATCAATGATATTGGTAAATATCCCAAAAGATACAACCTGGCTCCCTCACTGGCTGATAAGCTCCTCCTCCCCACAGACCCTGATAGTGTAGCTCACCCAGGTATTACCGTCCATTCTAGTGAAAAGTAGGAAACTAGGAGACTGAGTGTTTAGCACTTGGTCCTGTATGTATTACTTAGAGATCTGTGATCCAAATATACCCTCTAAGTCCTCATAATATCAGTTCCTTCATCTATAAAATAAGGCCCCTGAATTCTAAATTCAGCATCCAGTGTGGAAACTTGTCAGAACCAGGCTGGGTTGAAGGCATCCATCAAATGAACCCAGCTCTAAGTTGACTGAGATGCAGGCTGAGTTTGCTGTGAATGCCTCCCCCATGCCCACATGCTATCTCCTTTATAACAAGAGAAACAAGGTAGTAAATGCCTAGCTTGAGATACACCAAAGACAGGAAAACAGAAAGAAGTTCTAGTGTCATTGAATGTCAAGGCATTTTACTAGAGCAATACCTGCAACTTCTGTACAAGTAGCCTTCATAAGGTAGACATAAATTTCAAATTCAAGACCAGGCAACTATATTGAAAAGCATTTACTACTCTTCTGTTCTTCCTGGGGACTATATCTTTAACAACGAGCTCATGTTGAACACCTTATTTATGTCAGAGAACATGGCATACATTTAACACAGCTGTTTATGACAGCATGGCAACGAGCATCTGTGCCCATTATCACAAATAAAAACTCCACTCCATCTGAAACAAGGAGGCTATGACAGTTTTCAGTGCTATGAGCACATAATTTAGGCAAGTTAAGTAAAGATTAACTTTTCTTCAATACAATTACCCTTGCAGTTGGCTGGTAGTATGAGCTGTGTACTCCTTACAACAATTACATCTTGAAAATATGGCTCTGGAATAAAGATACCTCGCTGCTTTGAGTGACAAGCATTACTTACTTAGTTCTTAGAAAAGATGGACCCAAACAAATAGAATCTGTTGGGGAATAACAGATATGCCTCCAATTGTTCCCTTTTCAAAGAGTCCGCCCATGTTAGACACAAGCTGTCTCCACTCCTCGCTGAGGTATTTCCAAAATATCCCACTAATCATGGGGAAAATGAGACATTTTTGGGGGGTTAGCAATCTGAATCAGTGCCAGTAACCTAAGGCACATTCTTGTTAGTCTATAGTCTAGTCACTGCCCCTTTTTTAGTTACAGTGGGGCCTTGACTTATGAGTTTAATTCGTTCCGTGACGGAGCTCGTAACTCAAATTACTCGTATGTCAAATCAAAAAGTGAACGAGTGAGACACGTGATGCTGGGCTGATGTTGTGGCGTTCACTGTGATGTTCGCTGCGCCAACTAGCGGTGGGGTATCTGAAGCTGGCTCATAACCCAAATTTTAGCTTGCAACTCAAAGCAAAAAAATCGGCCGAGAGATGGCTCGTATCACGAAAAACTCGTTAGTCGGGACACTCATAAGTCAAGGCCGCACTGTATCTGGTCCTGCAAGACCTGTTTACCTAAGTACTACTCCCATTTTAGAGAGGCCATAAACCATGAGCAATACACAACCACCAGACGGGGTTATCAGCACTGGTGCCAGGCCAGACCTTAAGGTGTGGTCTCACAATCCCCATCCCATCACACAGGGCTTTTTGCAAAGCCCATGAAAGGTCCAGAAGTCTGATCCATATTTGATTTTAGAGAGGCCATAAACCATGAACAATACACAACCACCAGACGGGGTTATCAGCACTGGCGCCAGGCCAGGCCTTAAGGTGTGGTCTCACAACCCCCATCCCATCACACAGGGCTTTTTGCAAAGCCCATGAAAGGTCCAGAAGTCTGATCCATATTTGGGGGGACAAAGAAACCAAAGGGTATAAAGGGAAAGTTTTCTCCAGATTTGGAGAAAAACAGTCTCCCCTGTACCGGTACATGTGAAACATCTGAAAATAAATGGGTTTTTCCTGTGTCTCCAAGTACTCCTGTGTGTTCTTCTGTCGCCTGGTAAATTCTATAACACTAATACATTGCACTGACTTCAATTTAGAGTTTTCCTTGGAGGCATTTTGCCTATCAGTATACATATCTTAATATGAAATGATTTTATCAAATTGTTTCATCCAAGACCCAATCTGAAATCAACTACACTAATTTAATGTACAAACAGAGAAAGAGATGATAAAACTGAAGATGACAAAGAAGTAAAGCTTGTAGACCAAAAAGCTGTGGCTGGAATTTGGGCATTAGTAGGGTTGATGAAGGTAGAGATCTCTTGGGAAGGGGGTGAAAAAAACAATTTGGAAAGCAATAGAAGAATGCTTTAGAAAGGTCAAAATGGAGCTACTTTACAATTTTATAGAGGATTTGACATTAGAATGACAATGGTGAGAATTTCATCCAGAAGAAGCCTTCGGGAGAAGTTTTGGTTTTGCTCTGTTTTGGTTTTATTTTTAAGATGCCAGTGGTCATTCTGTTGAACCCTCAAATAGTAACATTTCCCAGCCTTGCTTCATAAGAGAAAGGAAAAGTGTCCAATTATGATATGACACTTTATTATTTTTTTTCCAGACTGACACAGATTAAGAAAAGATTCCTTTTCTTTGAGCCTGCTGTAAAATGACATAGGTAGTATATTCTGGGCAATATACGCGAGAGTACCAAAATCCTATCCACTAAGAAACCTGCATAACTGAGTCTGACACCAGAGTCCATGATTAGAATGAGTGAGTCTCCAGTGCCCTCACCCTCTAATCATTGTCTTGGGAAGATTTCTAAATCTTCAGTATTTAGGCACACAGTTATACATGCATTTGACTAATTGGTATCTTTTCTTAATCTGTGTCAATCTGAAAAAAAAAGAAATAAAGTGTCATATCCTAATAGGACACTTCATTTTTTTCTTCTTCTTTTTTGAAAGACAGCAGTTTAAAGGCAAGTACCACCTTACTAAAACCTTCACTCTTTCCTGAATGAAGATGCAGAGAAGGGCCTACTCTTGTAGGGTGACCCAAAGAAGAAATACTAACATGTGTTTGCTTTCGTGTTGTCGGACATAAACATCAGAGATAACATTGCCAGGGATATTCCAAGTTTATATCAATTACCCAGAGACAGAAAATATATTTAATGTATTTTAGAAACTCACCAAAATGATCAAACAACTGTTAGAAATATTTCGGCAAGCTTAATTCCCTTTGTGCTTGCTCTCCTTATGGTTCTCTTGT